TAGATTAAATAAAGGATTCAGAAATAAAGGTTAATCAGATCGATATACGCATGAGGAATGGTGGAGGGTACAAAGTCTGAAACGTTATGGTAACAACAACAATGTTCGGATATAAATATTGTAAAACACAAGTAATTCTTTCAGTATTCATTCTGAGTCGGCTATCAAGAATTTATTTTTGCATAGTGTTTTTTTTAGGCTACGTTTACCGATGTTCAATCCTGGTATGACTTTTACAATTTTAGACTCATTTCGCTGCATAGGTGAAATAAATGCGATGTGAAAACATATTCTTCACTTCTTTCTATTTTGTGTATTCAGGTTTCTATCTGCATTCAATATATTTGTTCTTAGTACAAGTCACTGAATACTTAAATATCGTCTCCATGTAAATAAATCTTTCCCAAGATTTCAGGATATTGTCCTTTATCAATTATATTTCTTTAATCTCTAAAACAGAGCTATAAACTTATCTGCACTACTTTTCTTCCTTTTAATAGCATAATCATCTTGAGAATTACATTCCTTGTTCCAGTGTCTTGCTACTGTTCTCATCATAGTTTTGGTCTTATTCTACTTGAATTTCCATTAATTTGAATCCTAATTCTTCGTTTATTTATGTGGTTCATCAAGTCGATTGCTGAACAAATAACCTATTCCTTCGCAGTTGATTTCTTTGACCGCTTTATTAAGAATGATTTTTCTGGCGTCTACCAGTATTTTCCCGCTTTTTCATTTATTCCTTTGCTAGAAATCAATCGACTGAGACTCTTAACGTTTCTATCTCAATCTCAGTTAATCTCGCTGCTTTGTAACCCGCTGCTTTATTAATATGAGATTAAACCACCAATGGCAAAAATTACTTTTGTCATTGGCGGTTTAATCTCATATTTTAAATTACGGGTCATTTCGTAACACTAGAAGTTGGCCCCCAAACCCGAGATCATAATCATAAAACCTAAAAGCTAACGCCCAGTAATAATAAACACAAACCAAATCCACATTATACATCAATTAACTTTACATTTGTTGTAAACGGTTCAGCCAATGACCCTATAAAGATGTCAAAACATGATGTAAAGTTTTCCAACGTTACAACCATTAAATACCACGAAGAAAAAAATACACCAAACATAATCCGTTCTTGAAAATGACAAAGTATTGTTGAAAGCTGCTGCATAGACACCCACTTATCTTTACTGCACACACTTGCACGGAGCACTTGTACGAAAACAAGACAAAATGAGGAATATATTATAAATCTTCTTTGACATTTGATAATAAAAACGTAAACTCCCCATATATATATATATATATATATATATATATATATATATATATATATATATATATATATATATGTGTGTGTGTGTGTGTGTGTGTGTGTGTGTGTGTGCGTATATGTATGTTATTTCAAACGTTACTTCTAGTGGATATATGAGTAGGCTGTCTGTTTTTTTAAACAGTATTTATTTCGCTTTTCGGCCTGCGTACTCAAGAAAAATTAATAAAGTGAATGTGCCCATTGGCAGGATTCGAACCTGCGTAACCTTTGCAGAAAAAACGACGGTCCGATCCGGTGTGCTTTAATTCGAATTCGAAGCGTAAATAAAGCTATTTCTAGGGCGCTGGACGGTGGACGAAATATGCACTGTTAAAAAATGGGGCGTCTACTTAAATACAGGTGTCTACTAAAATTAGTTTTTGAAGTAATATTAAAAATATAACACACATACATACATACATACATACATACATACATACATACATACATACAGGAGGCATTGTGGATAGCGGCTTGCATTGAGGAATCGGAGAGCCGAGTTCGAATTCCAGTCGAATCCATTACATTCACTTACGTGCTAATACCCTTGGGAAAGGTATGAATCTTCTTCTCCCTCCTGGGTAAATAGCAAGACAGACTGGGTTCTATAGCCTTAGATGGCAACTGGTCTAGCAGAAGGACATCTCTGAATTCAAAACCCGCGGAGGGTCCTTTGTTGACCTTGTGGCATGTAGTGCACCAGGGCTCTGTATTTGGCCCTTCGAAAAGTGTGGATGGTTCTGCAAAAAGTGTGGATGGTTCTGCAAAAAGTGTGGATGGTTCTGCAAAAACCTTCACCACCATAAACAAATCCCATGTGCTGGTGTCTGGCTGTCGGTTCCCATGAACTGAGCTGCTTGATCCTCATACGTCGAATACAACAGGAGAGACAGTCGTATATATATATATATATATATATATATATATATATATATATATATATATATATAAAACAAAGAATTAAATGGCTAGCATTTCTACATATCAATTCGAGAACTCTGAGTTTCATTCGGCAATTGTCAGAATACCGTGCAACCTCGATTCTCGAACGTCTCACACATCGATTTTTGAACAGAAAATTCGAGATGAAAATGCCTCGATTATCGTAGAAAATTTTGGTTCTCGAACAACATTGCCAAGCCGAGTTAACTCGAACGGAATAATTTTTGAGCCGACCGTTGTATACATTCGTGTGTTGTGGCGTGCTTTTATTTTCCAATTTTGTTGTACTGTGACATTTTTTAAAAGTTAGTGTGTCCTTTCTGAAGTCGCGTTTAGCTAACATGTCATGTTTTTATTTAGTCTATTCCATAGTGTCTTTTTTTTTAAAAAAAAAACACCCCCCACAAAAAAAAACAGAATTCTTATGGAGCTAAATCTGAACTGTTAGGGGCGCTAACAGAGCTGACTGGGGCGATATTTTATAAAATGGTACACGTGGTACACAAGCCCACTCTGTGGCGTCTTACTGTTGAATGAGGAATGCAATGGGTGAGTAACTTTTAGGCACGCAAAGGAATACCCCCCTTAATTTGTTGCAAAATTAAGACTACGAATATACTTCTCGAATTACTGAAATTGTTAATACCTGATGTATACATTTCATATAGATCTCGAATACACATGCATAAATGCATACATAAATAAACATACACACACATACAGATACACCCTCCCCTATATATATATATATATATATATATATATATATATATATAGGAGGCACGGTGAAGTAGTCGAAACCATTCCAGTCGATCCCATTACATTCATTTACGTGCTTGGGACAGCTATGGGTAAATAGGGGCACAGACTTAGTTCTATAGCCTAGGACAACTCTGAATTCAAAACCTTCAGAGGGTTGTTTGGGGACCTTGTGGCACATAGTGCACCAGGTCTCTGTAGTCGATTTGACCGTCATACGTCGAATCCAACGAGAGAGACCCATAACACACACACACACACATATATATATAACACACACACACACACACACATATATATATATATATATATATATATATATATATATATTTGTGTGTGTATGTGTGTGTGTCTGTGTGTGTGTATACGTTTCAAAGGTCATCCATAACAAGTTCCCAGGAACAGTAATGGTTCTGACAGTCGTCAGTCAACGCTGCTGTAGATCTAGCGGTGTAGGGACATCTTGAGATGGTGTAATGGTTTGCAAGCTAGTCTCGCTAGAACAATTACAACTGAATAGTGAGTTCAATCCTTACTGGGTGCCCCTTACTTTCGGCCTTGTGCCACATGCAAGCTCCGCTTGGAAAATCACTATCTAGCGCTGTAGAAGGCCATGAAATCCTGGATAGGTAGCGTACTCAACGGAAGATCGTATAAGATTCATAGATAGATGCATGAAAATCTACATGAAGATTTAATGCATGGTCTCATTGCTCAGGAGGCCTTAATTCAATATACTATTACGTATGGGGCGTAGTTGGGAAGGGGGTCAGTGAATGGCCTGGTAACACCGTAAAATCTCCAAAGGTTGTCATAACCAGGGCTATGTCCGAAATTTATAAAGATAACTTTTTCGCGCATGTTAACGCTTCCGACCCGGTATCCACGCACCCATCTATGGTAACGGCGAATTCACTTAATAGGAGTGATAAAAAGATTATCAAGTTTATTTGTTTCAATTTGTTCATGACCTATACATCTCTCTAATTTCGTGTAAATGTCTTTAAAAAATTGACGCCACCTGTATATATGCATGCGTACTCTGTGCATTTACTATATTTCTATGTCTTATATCTATCAAATCCGCATGTTAACGGTGTCTTTTCCGTGGTAGGAAGAAATAAATAAAAAAATGGTTGCACCGTTCTGTGACTGACCTACAGGATGATATCCAGAAGGGTAACACATTCTATTCAGCTTCTCGGGTTCCTGAATCGAAAAAATTGAATAAATCTCTATTAACATGAGTGTTCTATTAACATCTGTGTTCGTCTTGTCTGGTTTTGAGAGCATCTCCCTCGATTGAGAAAAAAACTAGTGTTATATAGCTCTTCCAGTCCCAGACCGACGCTGGCTAATGGCTAATACCTGCCCAGTACCGTTCATATGCAAATAGTCAGCGCCACCTACTCTAAGTAGAAGGTCTTCTCTCAACATGGAAGGGGAGGTAACTACTGGTGCTTACAGCACCACATACAACCAACTCGGAGTATTTTATCGGGCTGACTCGATTCTCTGTTACAGAAACATATATAAAAGTTTATCTCGTAAGACTTTTCGTCTCATACTTGTAAAATCTACCTTCGTTGTCAATAAAAAGCATTCGTTAATTAAAATCTGTCCCCAGCCTGTCTCAGTCAGTAGCTGACATTTAATGTTGATATTGTAATCTTAATATTCCAGAGATAAAAAGAAAAAAAACAGGTGATATCTTGACTGGGTTGTAAGATGGAGGTTGATAAGAGGAACAAAATAAGAAAAATACATATTTTTTTTTTTTTTTTTTTGTTGTCTGACAATATTCACTATCTAAGAATTCACTAAGCGATTTAAACATTGTTGATCCTGTATCACAGAGAGTCACGATTTGTTAATTTCTCTTGTCCCTCGTTCATGGTGACAACAGAGATGTTAATGTTCATATTTGTCAACAGATTTTAAGTAAAATCATGTTCACAAGCCACATACAAAGTCGATGGATGTAAAGTCTGGTGAAACATTCCTCTTGCTTTCGTGTCGAATAACTAACAAACATGACAAATTACTACACGAAGCAAACGATTATTTACTGATACCCTCACGTAAAGAAATACAAATGAATCACAAAGAAAGCTCTTTAACGCATTTATATATATATATATATATATATATATATATATATATATTCCCATGACAAACATTAGCTTATTTAAATTTAAAAAATAGTTATAATAAAGAAAGACTAGTGCAAGCTCTGTGCTGGAAAGCAAGCGTAATCAGAGAACACTCTGACTTTTAAGTGCAATATGGAGATGCCAACAACTTGATCTCACTGTGCTTTATCAAATAATCACAGACACTTTAACACGAGAAAGCCTAAAAAACGAAAATGGTAAGGGATAAAATAGAATGATTTATTTTCTGTGTGAAGTAATGGATGTGAAAAACAAAAAGAAACAATATAACTGAAAAATAACACCATCTTTTAAACTGGTCTTCGAAAAGATTCTTTGATAGGTTAAAGTAAAATAGTTTGCATATATGTGAAAAAGCGACAACCACAGATGTGGTTTTTGAATTGGAAACAACAGAATCAAACAGATATAGTAATTTAATTAAATACCTGTATTTACCTGACCACCCACTCAGGTAGGGCGGGTCACAAGGTCTTCTCTCATAAGTGAGGGGACCATGTACGTACATATGGATCCCAAATTGCCTAATCCCCGCAACCATTGTCACGTCGATATTACACAGCTCCCATCTCTCTTACTGCAATGGGGAAGGTGCTGTCGCAGGGTATGAATCTCCGGATACCAGGCGCCTTCTCTCATCTAGAATCAGGAGAACAGTTACTATGCTTTGATTACGATTGTAAAGTGACAGCAGTGTATCAAGCTTGTGTAATAACTGATAACAGAAATTGTGGTACAGAGAGTTGAAGGCTCAATGGCATAGCAAAAGAAGCCTTTGCTTAGTCTCTGAAAAGCTTCTTTTGCTAGGCCGATGCAATTGTTCGATTTTAGCTGGGTTCCTAGTATGCAATGCATTCTTTCATTTGAATTACAAATTTTCAATTGGGTTTAGATCAGGACTTTGACTAAGCCGTTTCAAGACATAAAATTTCTTTTTTGCGAAGCCATTCTTTTGTGGATTTGCTTTGATGTTTCAGATCATTGATCTCTTGAAAGTTCCAGCCCCGACCTAAACCCAACTTTTTAACTGAGGACACTTTCGTTCAAAATTGCTTGGTATCTTGCAGAGTCCATTGTGCCATCAATTGTTACTATTTTGACTGTTTCAGTTGAAGCAAATCATCATGCTGTCACCACCATGTTAAATGGTTGCTATCAAATTCGATCTTTCAAAAGTTGTATTAGGAGCTCGCCAGATATTCCATCTATTATGCCTAGATATTCCTCCCAAGAAGCTATAGTTTGGTCTCATCCGACCATAAAACCTTTTACCAGAATGTTTCTAGCTTATTAATGAGCTTTGTCATAACTGAGGCGAGCATGCTTGTACTATTTCGTACTCAGTGGATTTTTCTTGGCATTCTGCCGTGAAGATCGGAATTGTTCAAATTTTGTCGCTCTGTAGATGCATGCACATTGATTCCAACAGTGGCCAGTGAGCATTGGAGAACCACAAAGGTGGTAGCAGGATTTGCTTGGGCCGGACGAACTAGATGTTTACTAGCTCTTGCTGTTATTTTTCGCGGACAGGCACTTTTTTGTTATGATGCCGTCACACCAAAAGCCTCCCATATGTAAATAATTTGTTGCATGGTGAGGAATTGCTCTCCTTGGTTTTGAAAGATTTCTGTAGACTTCTCCAGCATTATCGGTTTCAACTATGTGATTTTTTAAGTTTCAGGAAGTTCTTTTGATCTTTGCATATATATTTTTTTAAATTTATTCTCTAACTGCACACCTATGCATACACAATGAATTATATTGTTTGACCGCAGTATACACTGCTTATCAAAAATGAATACGTATCATTTTTATGTGTACACAAGAATCATTTGCACTGGCAGCCATGTAAAACAAACTACAGTGTAAATGTAAGTGTTCACTTACTTTTGCACATCTTAATTTTTAATAAATATTTTTATTCCAGCTTGATAAAAATCTTGGAAAGTGCTTGGAATTCATTTATTAAAGGTTTTTCTTAATAAATATATACTTTCATTAAGATTTGTTGATTACCTGGAAAAAAAAAGAAACAATTATTTCAAATATTATCTTAGGGGTTCACAAAGAACAGAAAACAACATCAGGAATCTGACTGCTTTTTAACATCAGTATTCAAAATAAAAACTGAGCACTAGCAGAAGATCTGTCGCGGTTTGTTTGTTTGTTTTTTCTATCTATCTATCTATCTATCTATCTATCTATCTATCTATCTATCCCAGATTGTTCATATCTGTCTATCTATCTATTCCAGCATGTTCATATCTATCTATCTATCTATCTATCTATCTATCTATCTATCTATCTATCTATCTATCTATGTGGTGTAACCTTGGATGTGAGGGTGGTGCAATGGATAATGGTTCGGAATTGTTAATAAGAGAACCAATTTCCAATTGTAGTTTTGACGTTATATTCACTTACCCGCAAATACTCTTGTGAAAGGTATGGATCCAACACTTATCCCTTCAGCTATGGGTTAATTAGTAAGACAAGTCTCACTGAATCATGCAAACGGTTTATAAGCCATAGAAAGCGCATGAATCAATAACTGTCCAAGCCTATCTATCTATCTCAGTTTTTTCACTATTTATCTATCAATTTCATTCTGTTTACTATCTATCTATCTATCTATCTATCTATCTATCTATCTATCTATCTATCTATCTATGCCATCCTGTTTATATGTATCTATCTGTCTATCTATATTTTCTTTCATTACCTTATATTTTTCTTATAACTTTCATTACCCTATGGTTAAATTACGTCATTGATCTATTTATTCAGTTTCTTGTTTTCTAATCAATCATCCCAGCATGTCGGTGGTACTGAAAATGACTGGCGGGGGTACTGACGCTGTGAATATAATGATCGGGTCTTTTCTTGAAATACTTACCACCAGAGCTGCATTTGGTTATCAAGAAGAAGAAATTAAATATTGTTTACCTATTTTATTTTGCATGTGGCGAATTGTTGCGTCGACGTCTCACGCCTTAATGTTATGTGTTTCTTTGGTAAATATTTGTTAGATATTTCTTAGCAAATTCTTTTTTCAACAGGTCGGTTTTTATCTCTTTGAATAAGATCACGTTTTGCCCGGGGAGGTTTAAAAAAACAAAACAAACAAACCAAAAAGCAAAACAAGAGAATAAAAACAAACAAACGCGATATCGCGTCCATAGAATATTACACACACAAGCTGAACTTCTTCCAGACCTATGAGCGGGTGACCGAACAGGAACGCTCACATATGACGTACAATATTTTCTGTTTGAGTCATTCAGACAAGCGATAAATGTACACAGCTACCTTTAAAATATTTACACACGTCATAAATACGATGTTATTTTTCTTGAATTCAATGATACTAAAATTTACTGTAAAGATTAATATAATAAAATGGATGATTATCATTTTTATTTATTCATCATTTATGTTTCATGTCTCTTCGGGATTACGACTCTACACATCTTACGATCTTTTGTAGCGATTAGCAAAGATTTTAATTTCAACTATCCACCCTAAATCCTGATACGCTGTCCATTTACTGCCTCCTTTGCCTTCAATGTCTCTGGGTGTCAAATTCTCCAAGCACACTTTTCTCATTTTGGGACTATGTCTATTTTACATTACAATTTTTCTTAAAACTTCCTCGTTGTTTCTATGTTCTGCCCATGGTATTCTTAGCAATCTTCTACAGAGCAACATTTCCATTGCTTCAAGTTTCCTCATCAGCTCAGGTATTATGGTCCAGATTTTACAGCTTTATAGCAGGATTTTTATTAAATAGCACAGCACACTTTTCTTTGTTACTAACGATTTTTCTTGTCTCTTAATAACTTGGTTTAGCTCTTGGAAGGCATCTTTCAATAGGTCTGTGGATTTCGGTGTCACATTATTTAAAGAATATATATTCGCTAGAACTGAGAGTAAATGATATAAAAATGCACATGCGTTTGTGTTATAATAAGGATGATTTTATTTTGTATGACAATAAACATTATTTCAGTTACCTTTCGTTTGTATTATACTTGTACTTATCTTTCTCTGTCATCTATCTATCTATCTATCTATCTATCTATCTATCTATCTATCTCAATCTGTTCATATCTACGTATATATGTATCTATCTATTTCAATCTGTTCATATCTATTTTAAGCTGTTCATATCTATCTATCTATCTATCTTTTTATTTTAGTTTGTTCATAATCTATCTATCTTTTTATTTTAGTTTGTTCATAATCTATCTATCTATCTATCTATCTATCTATCTATCTATCTATCTATCTATATTTTTATTTTAGTTTGTGCACAATCTATCTATCTATCTATCTATCTATCTATCTATCTATCTATCTATCTGTTTACACAACGATGAATCCCTCTCACGCCCTTCATATTTCATTAGTAAGGAATAATTTATACTCGAACAGATTTTTCCTAAGAACTGCTGCTTTGTGGAACAGACTCTCAGCTGAATGTTTTTTCCCAATCACTATACTCCTGCCCTCCTAATGTCTAGGGTTAACCGTTATCTTTCCCGTATAACTTCATGAACTACAGTTCTTGCCTTTTATTACGCTCATCCAATAGCATACAGTAACCTTTTGCTATTAGTGACCCTTGGGCCTTGTATAGAGTGAACATTAGTATAAAATGTACGTATGTATATATGTATCTATCTAGCTCACTTTGTTCATATCTATCTATCTATCTATCTATCTATCTATCTATCTATCTATCTATCTATCTATCTTTGATTTTGGTATGTTTCAGTTATATATGTATAAGACACGGAAATATTCTAAAAATAAAGCTAATGTCAAGAAAATCAGATATCACACAACTTTGTCCCAGAACTTTAAAAACTTTTGTTCGGTTGAAAGAGCCGTGTCTGTTCCAGGCAAACCTGAATCTTACAATGATGTCTTGAAATGTTCATACCTGACATCAAAGTGGCATCAATCATCGGTCGGTCTCAGAATATTATATACATCACACTGTCGTATTTTCGGTCAGTTCATCTCTTCCCTCTTTCTCTTTCTATCTACCTATCAGGTTGTTTGCTGGGTGATACATTTGTATGTTTGTCACCAACGCTTCGAGTTGCAGTTTAGAATCCAAATGCAGAATTTCAAGTCAGAAAGTCATAACACAATTTTCAGTATTAATAAATTCACACATAACCATTAAGGTGGCTACATGTATAAATTTATAAACACATACCCACATAAATGTTCTCATAAATCTCTACCCTGCCGCCTCCATGTATGATGTCTTTTTCCTTACAAATATGTGGATACAACGACCGCCTTGTTGCTTTTTATAACATTCAGTACATTGAAACTCTTTAAAATCAGCATAGTTTAAATGTATCAAGTGGGTCAGTTCACATCTCTCTTTACTCTGCTGAACTTAGTCTGACAGAAGGTTATAAATATTGTCCATCAATGAGAAATGAACTCACTAAATTAATAACAATCTACCTATAGCCTCTTTCCAGCAGACACCAAGTCACTCTATTGCTGTCTGCATGATAAAATGTTTAGGTCAGCTCTAATCTTTGCTTCCACAAGATCAAACCTTCATTGGTTGGACTCGTTTTGCTACATTCACAGAGTCGAATCGCGTACATTTCCCCCATATTTCAAACTTAAGAACGTTCCTCTAAGATCACATTTTCCCAGGAAAATTTACTTTGTAGAACAGACGCCCAAGTTGATGCTTTCGTTATCACTATAATATTAACCCCTTCATTCCTATATTAGATTGTTTTCTATCCTCCTTATCCTTATGATCTTTAATTCCTACCACCTTCCCTTTCATTCATATCATATATCGTATTCATAAGCATTTTAAGAGTAACCCTCTACCTTGACCCTTGAGAATTGTACTGGGTGAATATTTGTATGAAAAGAAATAAAATATGTAACTATTTAGGTGTCTATTCCAATTATGTGTCATCACTTTGGCAAACTAAAATTAGTTTGAATTTTACTTAGGTATCAGTAAATGATGTGAAAATTCGATTAAAGATTTTTATTCCAAATGTCTAGTGGGGGAATTTCTTACATCGCAAGAATCATGTCAATCAATCTTTCATTTTAGTTTTCAGTGCAGTTACATGTTTCTACTATTTAATGCCATGTTCCTTGAACTCTTCCAAATTCTTTCTATAGAATTAGATGACTATATTGATTAATGATAATCAATCTGATTATCAAAGTGAAAGATGTAGGCATTGCTATGTATCTTAACCCTCAAACTTCAAACAGTACTCCCTCCATATATAATTATTTACTGAGCTTTGCTTAGTTTCGAACAAAAGCATACAATGGAGCACACAAAGATCATCAAACTAGCCAACATACTAACTATTCCAAAACAATAATACCCAGTCTCCTTTCTCGTTCTATCTTTCTATATATTACTTTCGAACGATAAAAAAATTGGCAAGTGATTTTTTTCAAATGTAAGCCTCTCATTAAAAGTTTTAAGGACGATCATTTAACGCTAGACTTTAAATGTCATAAATTTTAATTTGCAAAACTTATCAGTTTTCAAATTTAATTTAATTAAATTTAATCACAGAAAATAATGAGAATCTGAACAAATATCGAATTACACATGAGCGACCTGTCGGCTATCAAGATGAGTTAGTACGACACATAGCCTTCTAACAAGAAACCGGCCGTCTATGTGCATTTGTGTTAGTGTTGAGTGAATGAAATAAACATTTACAAATAACTGCAAGCGTAGGAACGCACAAACATATGCACTTTAGCTAATCAACACTGACAAAAAGCGAGGGAAAAATCTTCGATGAAGGCATTGAAGCTGGCTATTGTCTATATTGATTGCCTGTCAGAAATATTCAGTTCTTATGGTGACCACATTTTTCTGACCGCGAAATTAGGTAGATTCTGTTTACTTAGTGAAGAAGATGGAGGAAAAAGAAAATAACGTAAGGTTTGTGTAAGAAACCAATTTCTCGTGGAAACGATTCGATTGAAGAGCTGATGACAGACAACGATTTATTAGGGATTTGTCTTCGGTGCTCCCCTTGCCCCCCTGTACTAATGATTATAGCTTTTGTCTGGGGGTGGGGGAGGCAATTATTACTGTTGAGAATTTGAATTTCATTTTATTCGGATTACTCAAATGAAGCATTTTCAGTCAAAATTAATGAGTAATCTTAGGTCTTATTTCTAGTTCTTTTATCAGAGCTTACATATTCTAAGTCTATTGCGTTAAAGTCATGGGTATGATGATAGTCTATATCTGATCGGAAGATTAGAGGTCTTGAGGTGCATGCTGTGGTTGCAAGATTATCCTGACCCGGAGTGGTAGCACCTATTAGGGTTTCAGCTATAGGCAAATGGCGACCGCTCCCAAACAAACACTATGTAAGTATAAAAATACATTTTAATAGTGAAAATACCGGTAATACGTTTATATATGAAAAAGAGAATGCATAACAGGCAACACATTTTCTGTACTTAAAGGCATACAATTGCGTTCAAAATATATTTAGTCGAAGCCATACAATTGTATAATTATTTAGATTTCGGCATTGAATAGCCCATAGTGGTTAGCCGCTAAACAAAACCAATCAACAATTTGTTGCTTTGAATAAAACCTTTAAAATGAAGTGACCCCGAGAGAATTAGAAGTTCTACTAGGATTCCTTATTGGCGGCCACATTCTTAACAGGATCTGATGTGCAGATGACGCAGTAT